TATGTATTTATTTTTGTATAATGGAATACAGGCACATGTTTATGGTGTGCCACACTTGCGTGTTTATTTCGGGTTAGAAAAAAAAAGGAATATAATATTTTGGAAAAATGGAAAAAAAGACCTTAAAAGTAAAAAAAATTACAAATAAGAACCTATTATAATATTAGTATCAGTTTTGACAACAGTTGATAAGCAAATGGCAACAACTTTTGTAAACGGCCTTTTTAATTTTTAAGGTTTTTTTCTGCAATTTTTCTTAATTTTTAAAATTTTTTTCTTGGTATATTCTAACTTCCTATCGTTATTCCTTTTTTAAAAAATATCCTAATCATTATTGAATATTCGTACTTGGCTTTGATAACTAAAAGATACATATAAACATTCTTAATCTAACATCCAAAATAACTTCAAATATTCAACCAATAAATTCAGATAGAAACTATTAATGATGGGTTAGGAAGTTACGATATTTTAATTTTTTAAAATTTTAAATTTAAATAATAATATGTAAAAAGTTAAGATATTATGAAATATAATAGTATATGAAATGTAAAGTGGGAAAACGAGCCGGCGGGCTTACAAGGGCCAACCTTACAGGCCAAAATTTTAAAAATATCCCAATTTGCTAAACCTAGCCCTTAAACAGACGGGCTCAGGACTGGCCTGTAGACTTTCAGTCTGTTTAATTTTTTTTTCATTTTCTATATTTTTCATAATGTTTTATCAAAAAATAAAAAAGAAACCGATGAATTAGTAGTAAAAGACATAAATATGAATAAAATTAAGTCACAAAAACAAAAGATCATTATATCTAAATGTCCATCATATACAAAAATCTAAAACATCCATTAGACATACTAAGTTAATAACATTAACATCCAAAAGTTCTATTAAAAGTAGACAAACATTTTCACTAAAAAAAAAGTAGGCAAACACTATCATCACTATCATCAATTGTAAGAATATTTGATTATGCTTTACTAGTAATAGGCTCTTTTAAACTTCTAAAATATCAATGATTTCTTCTCAATACTATTTAGCTATTCTAGAGTCTAATATGTCTTTTTCTGTCTTTTTGAATTGAATTTTTTGCCCACCAATAAGTTTATTTAAAAATATCAATGTTAAATTTGTTTTAGACGTTTCAACTTAGCAACCATTGGGGATTGATTCTTTGTTGTCTACTTCCTAGCTCTAGTCCTAATTATAAACCTCGTTCGTAGTCAAATGAGGTCTTATGTTCAGGGCTGGAGTTAGTTTTTTTTTTTCCTCAAGCTTTAATTGTGAAAATCACTTTGCTGCACAGTCTTATGAGAAGTCTTAAATAGTTTAACACTTTGAATTGATCCATAGTATGCTTTTAATGAGCTATGTCCTTTTTTTTTTTTTTGCTTTTGTTTAGGACGGTCTTTTATAGTTTTGTCTAACTCGTTTGTTTAACTCTATATAAATATAGAGTAAAAATTATGATATAGTCACTATAGAAAAAGTGTTAACTTATGTATTAAAATTTTGTAACAATATATACAAATTGATATGTATCTGTTGGATCAATCATCATTAAAATTTTTGTTTTAATATGGGGAATATATTTGTTTATAATTGCTAGTTCTAATGTATAACTGTTAGTTCAAATAAATACAAATTTGAAATCTGATTTAGGATATAGAGAATATATTTTTATTTGTTTTAATATCATTAGAGATTGAGGTGTGAGTTAAGAGTGAGTGAAAGACTGAAAGTGAAACTTAGAGAGGGAGGGTACATAAAATGTTAAAGACTTAGGTTAGGGTTAAGAAAAAATATATAAATTAAGAAAAGAATTATTATTGGTAGGCTTAAACAAGTTGACTTGCGGCCTTACAGGGCTGGCCTTTTTATTTTCAAGCCCTACAAGGCTGGCCCTTTTAAATCCAAGTTCCTTTTAAAGAATCCAAATTACAAGACCAGTCCTCAATTTAAACGGGTTTAATTGAATTGGCCTGACAGGCTCAGCCGGTTTTTGTGGCTCTAATGAAATATGACAAGTTCCTTAAAGAAAAAAAAATAAGTGAAAAAAAAAGTGCCAACCGAGAGTAGCATGGAGTAATGATTGTTCAAATCAAATTTGGAGTGTTCATATACAAATTTATAAATTTGTAATGTTTCATGATAAATTCATTTTTAAAAATAAGTACCTCTTTTTTGCTATGATTATCGCCAATTGACATTTAATGACTAATTTTTCAAAATGAGGAGATCATAGAAGTACTTACTCGAATCTTATTTATAAGCTACTTCTAATATGTTTTACACAAATCAAGAAAAACATTAAATTTCATTAATTCTTATTTAAAATCCAACAACTTTTCAACTTCATCCATATTTAATATACATTATATTTTATCTAAACAAAGTCAACACAATAATAAATAAAGAGTAAAATTGTACATCCGTATAAAAGATTTCTCTTACTTTCCTATAAATATGATTAAAAAAAAAGTCTTTTCTCTTCCCCGTATAAATAAAACAAGAGGAGTAAATCTGATCCTTAATAAGGTCCTTAGAATTTTCATAATTACGTAATCAAGACGCTAGAGAAAATCTCCATGTGAAATTCAATATGAATCCAAAGGAAAAGTGGGGAGCGTTAATGGATGAATTAACACTGCACACGTATATACAAGCTATTTTATTAAAGAAGAATCCAAAAAAAAAAATACTTTTAAATTTTAAAAGTTCAAATCAGTCTTGTTTATTATACTTTAATAACAATCAACAACATTTCAAAAACAAACTAGAAATTTCTCACCTGGTGATGGGCACGATCTAAAATATTTAATTAGATTTTAAATTTTAATAAATTGTATTATCTAAAATAGCTCAAGGCTCACTTCTTGGAGGAATCTTTTTTTTTTTTTCAATTCATTCAAATGAGATTTGAATTAGAGATGTGGAATTTAAGAGGAATATATAAAATTTAAAAATATTTATTTATTTTTTTATTTAAGCCCCTGATTGACATACTATTTAATTAGGACACTTCCTATTTAATTCAATACAATCAAATCCTAATGAAAATATTATTCAAATTGAAAATTAATTATTAATTTCTCCATTTGACCCTTCAATTAGAATTTCACTTAATAATGGTGCTCCTCATTTAAATTAATATACTCAAGTCCTGATAAAAGTATTATTTAAACCTTATTAATTGAATATATTTGGATATGATAATGTGATACCCAACCCCTTTTTAAAAGAATCAGACATTACAAGTTTTCAAGAATATAATTAGTAACAGCACATTTTTATTATAATCATTTCTCATTTGGGATTTTGAAATTTTAGAGGTATTTTTTTTGGGATTTTTTTCTTTTATTAAAATATGTGATTAAAAAAATTATTAATAAAAAATTAGTACCATATTTGCTTCACAAAAAAAAAACTGACTGAAGGAAATGAAAATGATGCGCAGTAGTATCTGATGAAATTCTTTGTTTACTTAACATGAATTTCATGGCATTTCCCTTTCCACTTCATTAAACATTGAGAGAACTGAAATTGTTTCGTGGAGAAAAGGAAGTCCGCACGACCAAGGAAACTAAAAATATTATCAGGGATTTGCAATGAATTTGTGATGATTTAATAAGCGTTCATGTTAAGAATTTTTGCCAAAAGTTTTTTTTTTTAACGTGTGTAATGAGCTATGCCGATTACGTAATATATATATATATATATATATATATGTAGAGAGAGAGAGTCAAACTTGTTTCCACATATTAAGAAAATGATTCACTTGATATTTTACTATGAAAGATTATTTGGTCGATTCTTATCATATTTGGCTTCGATTTTATTTCTACTCCTTATTAAGCATAATTATGCAAAAATGCATTTTTGTCTTATTTAAGATGTATCTAACGAGTTTTTAGGTAATATCATTTCATTCCATTTCAATTTCCATTCCTCTTTCTTCTATTCTTTTATAATGTGATGCGACTTGCAAAACATACCATAAAGTAAAATTACTTGTGTGGCTGAAGAGAAAATGATTTTCCCTTTTGGCGAAAAATGAATGTTCTCGTAGTTTGTAAAGCTGAAGAGCTTTCTGGGAAAGTCAATTAATAATTATAATTCTATTTCTAAAATCTTACTTATAAAAAGGATTAAAAAATTTATACAAAGGGAATGTAATCTTCAAACTTTGAATTGCTTAGGAAAAAAATATACAGTTCTTTTTCACGAAATTTCAAAAACACCGTCTTAATAATTTCATAACATGTGTAGTAGGAGAAGTTATAGTAATATAGTAATAAAAAAAAAAAAGGAAAGAAGTTGTAGTAAGATAGTAATAAAGTTTCATAAATCTTTGCATGCGAGAATACGGGAGTCAACTCTTTCAGAAAATTTCAATTTTCTCTCATTTGGGATTTTCATTTGTAGAACCGGTTTGATACACACAATGTGTACTAATAATTACATCAAAGCTTCTAAAACTTTATTTCCACATGGATTACAGAATTTAAGTATTAATATCAAGATAAACGTATTACTTAACGTTATATTAGAAGTTATCTAGATAAAACTTTAAGTCGATGATATCATGTTTCATAAAACTTTCATAAACCTTCTAAAACTTTTGTTGCGTTATGTTACGAAAGCTTCAAACAATTTTGATACAACTTCGATGAAATTTGGATCCACTTTTCAGAGAATTTTCATCTGCATCCACTTGTTACATTAATAATTTGTTCCACATCTTCGCAAAGCTTTTCGTTTAATTTGCACGCACTTTTCATTAACATTTAACTATGTGAATAGGTGAACTTCAGCAAACCATTTCCATAAAATGCAACAGTCTTGGGAGACATCGAACAAAACTTGAGAAAATTTTGATCAAACTTTGAAGAAATTTAGACACATTTTCACAAAAATGTCCACTTGCATGCACACACGTCCAAGATCTTTATAAATAGGGCAACATATAAATCCACAATTGATGTAGGCAAAGGGCAAAATAAGATTAGGAAGAAACAGACATACATTATAAATCCCAAAATATTTAGTGTTCTTCTATTTTGCTGTTGAGGCAAAATGAGTGGTTCTCAAAAAGGGTCAAAAGAGCTTTGCGATCTTACGAAGAAGGATGAGCCCTATGGGAACCCTTCTCATGCTCCAAGCCAAAAGAGCGAGGAAGAAAACCTTGCAGAACTTACTCGTCGTGCCAGCCATCATGAAATCAAAAAACCTTCAAAGCCAGGGAAGAACAAGAAACATGATCTTTGCGACGGTGCGGGGCCCCGCCGAAATTGAGTAATTACAACTCATTCATATGCTAGGTAATTTATTACTTTTATTGTATTTTTGTATACTTTGAATTTCTTGACCCTTTGTTTTGGTGCGAGGGGAATGACGTGAGAAAGAAAAATGGAAAAGTTCTAATGAGTTCATTTTTTTTCTTATAATGTAGGAAGTGGGGTTGAAAGTTTTCAACTAATTTTTTCTTACATTTTCTCTCTATCAAAATTTTATGATCCACTTGTTTATTTTTCTGAATTAAACTCATCAAAATTTGTTTTTTTCCCCATGCACCTTCCTCCATTCTCCTCAAACCAAACAAAGGGATTGATTCATTTGGTTTAATATGAGAATAGGAAAACTCTCTTCCACATTTGAAAACCTTTATTTATCAAGAAAGTGAATTTCACTTCGTCCCATAATTAAACACACATGGAGTGTTTAGATTGGCATATTTTAAGTGATCTTATGTTATGCCGTGCGAGAAATTTTATCTCGTAAAGTACAAAAGAACTTTTTTGTCACGTGGTTTCAAAAACACCCACACAATAAGAGATAAATTTTAAAGATCTTAAGCATTTATGTATACTCATCATTAATCTATTAGGATGATAAGTAATGGCCGCAAAGATTAAAGAGCTAATTAATAAGTAGTTTTAACACTTTTTTGTGATGATTTTATTTATTGTCTTTTCTTTTTATTTTTCATGCAGGTTTAAGCTGGTGGGAGACTCTAATGCTGGAAGAAATATCAAGCTCTGTGAAGTCTTTTATTTTATTTACTTTTTTTTAATATCTGTTATTCAAATAAATGTAAGTTGTTGTGTCAGGGTTTATTAAGTAGCTTGGTTGGGGGAAAGTATAAAGTAGTCTAAAACTGTCAACCATTCTTGTTTAACGTTTATCCATATTGCCATCGTTCCTTGTATGAATAAAACAAATCATTTGATCAAAATAATATATGATATAGTCTTTACAGAGCTGTCTTTTTCAAAATTATTGATCATGAGTTTATCGTGATTAATTATTTATTGTAATTATTTTTTTATAAATTATTTATGTTAATTTAACAAAAATAGAAACTCTTTGGTGACCCAAAAAAAAAACAAGATAAATTACTTGGCAAGCATCAACTCTTAGTTGATTGTGTCAATAACAAATATTTTAAATGGAACTTCGGGACGAGATGAAATATCATTTCATTTGTATTTTCGACGCGAGACATCGGACAAGGACATTCCAGTTTCAAATTCGGGCTGTTTGGAAAAAAGCTGCGAACAAATCTACGATGCATTTATTTTTGTACAATGGAATACAGGCACAGGTTTATGTTGTGCCCCGCTTGCACGTTTATTTCGGGTTAAAAAGCACAAGAGTATGATACCTACAATTTTTTTCTCGACAACTTCTAACTTCCTATCATTATTCCTTTTTTATTTAAAAAAAAAATCCTACCTATTATTGAATATTGGAATAACGTACTTAAATATCTTGAAAGTATATATGAAGAAACACCCCAACACCTGAAATTTTTTTTTTCACTATTATATGTTCTGAAAGTTTTATTTTGTAGCATTTCTATCTTGAATTGTTATCTACTTTTAAATTTGACTGTTAAAAATACTAGTCAAACTGTATTATTTAACGATAAAATTTAACAACAGATAATGACCATTGTATTTTTGTTATGAAAATAAATTTTTAGGGCATATAAGAGCTTAAAAAAAACTTTCAAATGCTATATGCTTCCTCTTAGATACCTCCAAAATATCCAAGTACCTTATTTCACTGAATTTTCATAATTTATCCATTATAATAACTTTCAAATATTCAACCAATAAATTAAAATAGAAACTATCAACGATGGATGGGTTAGGAAGTTATGATATTTTAAGTTTAGGGTGAAGGTGCGTATTTATCCATTACAATATTAAAAAGAAGCATCAGGTATTATAACAAGATTTCGGAAACAAAAATATACATGAATATTTTAAAATAGGACAAAAATATCATCGTCGTTTAATCGTGCCAAATGTCCCTTAGGTTTCTTCCATGGGTACCACCAGGACAATTGTCAACTGAGTCTGCCTTTCTCTGCCTCCCTCTCACCGTCTCCTTCCTTCCACTTTCCGACAACACAGAACAAAGAAAACACACTGTCACTCTCTCGCACACTATCCATGAAATGACCTTTTTTCCCCTTCCCTCTCCTCCATCCTCTTTGACTCGTCTCACGGTCTCCCGCCCGCGCTCTCGCCAATGGACGCCGCAGGAGACATGAGCTTGTACCTTGCACATCGGGAATGACGGATTGAGTCAAATCAGAGGAAGAGACCAGGAGGAGTCGGAGCTCCGAAGCGGAGCGAACCTCGACATATAATGCCGCCCTGTTTTTCTCACTTCCATTTAATTCTCATCTGAAGTTGCTAGTTTGAATGGAAATGCGTGTAGAGGATGCTATAGATGCGCCTATATAGACATGCGCAGGGGTGTTTGGCACTTGTTTCTCTTGTCTTTGTATTCCTGTGGAGCGTCTCTTATTCGTTTATTTGAATAAATTATTTGCTAACGCCAACTGCTAACGCTCTGTTTGGTACATGGGAATGGGTGTTGGGATTGGGCTTGGGATAGGGAATGACTCAATTTGACATGTTTGGTACGAAGTACTTGTCAATACTTGAGATTGTTTAATACCACATTCATAGGATTGACTAGTACCACACCCCCCTAGGGTATTGCAATTTTAATCTTGGGACTCAAAGCTTACTGACTAAAATAGCCTCCTAAAAAATTTGCTTAATTATTAATGATGGTCTAGCAAGTTACGATATTTTAATTTTTTCTTCAAATTTTAAATTTAAATAATAATATGTAGAAAGCTAAGATATTATGAAATATAATTGTGTACGAAATATGACAAGTTCCTTAAAGAAAAAAATAAGTGAAAAAAAAAAGTGCCAACCATGAGTAGCATTGAGGAATTAATGACTGGTCAAGTCAAATTTGGATTGTCCACATGCAAATTTATAAATTTGTAATGTTTCATCATAAATTCATTTTCAAAAATAAGTACTTTTTTTTTAAACTATGATTATCCCCAACTGACACTTAATGATTAATTTTTTCAAAATGAAGAGATCACAGAAGTACTCACTCTAATTCTATTTATAAGTCTTTGTCCCAAAAAAAAATCCTATTTATAAGTCACTTCTAACATATTTCATATAAATCAAGAAAAATTTTAAATTTTATTAACTCTCATTTAAAATTCAACAACTTTTAAACTTTATCCCTATTTAATATGCATTATATTTTATCTAAACAAAGTCAACATAATAATAAATAAAGAGTAAAATTGTACATCTGTATAAAAGATTTCTCACATTTTCCTATAAATAAGACCCAAAAAAAAAAGTCTTTTCTCTTTCCCGTATAAATAAAATCAGAGGAGTAAATCTAATCCTTAATAAGGTCCTTAGAATTTTCATAATTACGTAATCAAGACTCTAGAGAAAATCTCCATGTGAAATTCAATATGAATCCATAGGAAAAGTAAGTGTAGGAGCTCTGATGAATGAATTAACACTGCACACGTACATACAATCTATTTATTAAGGGAGAATCCAAAAAAACAAATACTTGTAAAATTTAAAAGTCCAAATCATTCCTGATTTGGGATTTTGAAATTTTAGAGGTTTGGGATTTTTTTATTTTATTAAACTATGTGATTAAAAAAATTATTAATAAAAAATTAGTACCATATTTGCTTCACAAGAAAACTGACTACAGAAAACGAAAATGATGTACAGTAGTATCTGATGAAATTCTTTCTTTACTTAACATGAATTTCATGGCATTTCCCTTTCCATTTTGTTAAACATTGAGAGAACTAAAATTGTTTCATGGAGATAAGGAAGTCCGCACGACCAAGGACACAAAAAATATTATTAGGGATTTGCAATGAATTTGTGATCATTTAATAAGCGTTCATGTTAAGAATTTTTGTCACAAAAGATTTTTTTTTTTTTTACGTGTGTAATGAGCTATATGCCGATTACGGAATGTGTGTGTATATATATATATATATAGAGAGAGAGAGAGAGAGAGAGAGAAACTCAAACTTGTTTCCGCATATTAAGAAAATGATTCACTTGATATTTTACTATGAAAGATAATTTGGTCAATTCTTATCATATTTGGCTTCGATCTTATTTCTACTCCTTATTAAGCATAATTATGCAAAAATGCATTTTTGTCTTATTTAAAATATATCTAACGAGGTTTTCGGTAATATCAGTTCATTCCATTTCAATTTCCATTCCTCTTTCTTCTATTCTTTTATAATGTGATGCGACTTGCAAAACATACCATAAAGTAAAATTACTTGTGTGGATGAAGAGAAAATGATTTTCCCTTTTGGCGAAAAATGAATGTTCTCGTAATTTGTAAAGCTGAAGAGCTTTCCGGGAAAGTCAATTAATAATTATAATTCTATTTCTAAAATCTTACTCATAAAAAAGATTAAAAAATTTATATAAAGGGAATGTAATCTTCAAACTTTGAATTGCTTAGGAAAAAAATATACAGTTCTTTTTCACGAAATTTCAAAAACACCGTCTTAATAATTTCATAACATGTGTAGTAGGAGAAGTTATAGTAATATAGTAATAAAAAAACAAAAAAAAGGAAAGAAGTTGTAGTAAGATAGTAATAACGTTTCATAAATCTTTGCCTGCGCGATTACGGGAGTCAATTCTTTCAGAAAATTTCAATTTTCTCTCATTTGGGATTTTCATTTGTAGAACCGGTTTGATACACACAATGCGTACTAATGATTACATCAAAGCTTCTAAAACTTTATTTCCACATGGATTACAGAATTTAATTATTAATATCAAGATAAACGTATTACTTAACGTTATATTAGAAGTTATCTAGATAAAACTTTAAGTCGATGATATCATGTTTCATAAAACTTTCATAAACCTTCTAAAACTCTTGTTGGGTTATGTTACGAAAGCTTCAAACAATTTTGATACAACTTTGATGAAATTTGGATCCATTTTTCAGAGAATTTTCATCTGCATACACTTGTTACATTAATAATTTGTTCCACATCTTCGCAAAGCTTTTCGTTTAATTTGCACGCACTTTTCATTAACATTTAACCATGTGAATAGGGGAACTTCGGTAAACCATTTCCATAAAATGCAGCAGTCTTGGGAGACATCGAACAAAACTTGAGAAAATTTTGATCAAACTTTGAAGAAATTTAAACACATTTTCACAAAAATGTCCATTTGCATGCACACACGTCCAAGATCTCTATCAATAGGACAACATATAAATCCACAATTGATGTAGGCAAAGGGCAAAATAAGATTAGGAAGAAACAGACATACATTATAAATCCCAAAATATTTAGTGTTCTTCTATTTTGCTGTTGAGGCAAAATGAGCGGTTCTCAAAAAGGGTCAAAAGAGCTTTGCGACCATGCGAAGAAGGATGATTCCTACGGGAACCCTTCTCATGCTCCAAGCCCAAAGAGCAAGGAAGAAAACCTTGCACGACATACTCGTCGTGACAGCCATCATGAAACCGCAAAGCCTTCAAACCCAGGGAAGAGCAACAAACCTGATCTTGACGACGCTGCGGGGCGGCGCTGAAATTGAGTGATTACAACTCATTCATATGCTAGGTAATTTATTACTTTTATTGTATTTTTGTATACTTTGAATTTCTTGACCCTTTGTTTTGGTTCGAGGGGAATGACGTGAGAAAGAAAAATGCAAAAATTCTAATGAGTTCATTTTTTCTCTCTTATAATGTAGGAAGTGGGGTTGAAAGTTTTCAACTAATTTTTTCTTACATTTTCCCTCTATCAAAATTTTATGATCCCCTTGTTTATTTTTCCGAATTAAACTCATCAAAATTTGTTTTTTTTTTTCCATCCACTTTCCTCCATTCTCCTCAAAC